ACATACTGCAGCAGCAGTAGTAATAACATTACATATCTTATCACTCTATACTATAATTTCTGGGTTTTTATTCATCTCCTTTAAGGGACCATAAACTCCTGGGCAACAAATCTTTAGTCTCATTCATCGTTATATTCTCAGAACCTAGTACAGCACTTCACACATAGTAGATACTCAGTAAATGTTTCCTGAATGACTGAATGACTAGCTGACTGCCTCCATAAATAAATGAATGAATGCTTACATTTATACACATACACACACATAAAATGAATAGATAAATAAGTGAAAGAATTCTAACACTTCAAAGGGAAGACTTACGTGGCTTTTTGATACCAGAAACAGAGACACATGAAAAGTGCAATTTAGAGAAGACATTATTTCCATTTTCATCTCATTCTCTTGCGTCATTCCTACAAGTTGCATGGCCGAAAACATTCCAAAAGGGCTTGATATAGTTTAGCTATCTCCCTACCCAAATCTCATCTGGAATTTTAGCTCCCATAATCCCCATGTATCATAGGAGTGACCCAGTGGAAGGTAATTGAATCATGGGAGCAGGTCTTTCCCCTTCTGTTCTTGTAATAGCAAGTAAGTCTCATGAGATCTGATGGTTTTATAAATGGGAGTTCCCCTGCACATGTGTTTCTTGCCTGTGGCCATATAAGATGTGCCTTTGCCCCTCTTTTGCCTTCCACTATGATTGTGAGGCCTCCCCAGACATGTGAAACTTAGTCGACTAAACCTCTTTTTCTTTATAAATTACCCAGTCTCTGGTTTGTCTTTATCAGCAGAGTGAGAATTGCCTAATACAGTAAATTGGTACCAGGTAGTGGGGTGGTACTATAAAGATACCCAAAAATGTGAAAGCAACTATGGAACTAGGTAACAGGCAGAGGTTGCAACACTTTGGAGGGCTCAGAAGACATGAAAATTTGGGAAAATTTGGAAATTCCTAGAGACTTAGAGGGCTCAGAAGAAGTGAAGATGTGGGAAAGTTTGGAATTTCCCACAGACTTGTTGAATGGCTTTGACCAAAATGCTGCTGACAGTGATGTGGACAACAAAGTCCAGGCTGAAGTGGTCTCAGATGCAGATGAGGAACTTGTTGGAAACAGGAGTAAAGGTCACTCTTGCTATGCAAAGAGACTTGCAGCATTTTGCCCCTGCCCTAGAGATCTGTGGAACTTTGAAGGTAAGAGAGATGATTTAGGGTGTCAGGCAGAAGAAATTTCTAAGCAGCAAAGCATTCAAGAGGTAACAGAGCACAAAAGTTGGGAATATTTGCAGCCTGACAATGCAGTACAAAAGAAAAACCCATTTTCTGAAGAGAAATTCAAGCAGACTGCAGAAATTTGCGTAAGTAACAAGGAGCTAAATGTTAATCACCAAGACAATGGGGAAAATGTCTCTACATCATGTCAGAGACCTTTGCAGCAGCCCCTCCCATCACAGGCCCAGAGGCCTACGAGGGAAAAATTATTTCCTGGGCCAGGTCAAGGGCCCCACTGCTATGTGCAGACCAGGGACTTGATGCCCTGCATCCCAGCCTCTCCAGCCACAGCTAAAAGGGGTTAAGGCACAGCTCAGACCATGGCTTCAGAGGATGCAAGCCCCAAGCTTTGGCAGTTTCCACATGGTGTTGAGTCTGCATGTGCACAGAAGTCAAAAATTCAGATTTGGGAAGCTCCACCTAGATGTCAGAGGATGTACAGAAACACCTAAATATCTAGGCAGAAGTTTGCCGCAGAGGTGGGGCCCTCATGGAGAGCCTCTGCTAGGGCAGTCAGAAGGGAAATGTGGGGCTGGAGACCTCACACAGAGTCCCTACTGGGGCACTGCCTAGTGGAGCTGTAAGTAGAAAGCCACTATCCTCCAGACCTCAAAATGATAGATCCACTGACAGCTTGCACTGTGCACCCAGAAAAGTCGCAGAAACTCAATGCCAGCCTGTGAAAGCACCCAGAAGTGGGGGCCCTACCCTGCAAACCCACAAAACTATGGGAGCCCACCTCTTGGCATCAGCATGACCTGGACGTAAGGCATGGAGTCAAAGGTGATCATTTTGGAACTTTAAGGTTTAATGACTGCCCTATTGGATTTTAGATTTGCTTATTTTGGCTAATTTCTCCCATTTGGAATAGGTGTATTTATCCAATGCTTGTACCCCCATTGTATCTAGGAAATAACTAACTTGCTTTTGATTTTAGAGGCTCATAGGCTGAAGGGACTCGCCTTGTCTCAGATGAGACTTTGGACTGTGGACTTTTGAGTTAAGGCTGAAATGATTAAGACTTTGGGAGACTGTTGGGAAGGCATGATTGGTTTTGAAATGTGAGGACATTTTGGGAGAGATCAGAGGCTATGTCCCCACCCAAATCTCATCTTGAATTGTAGCTTCCATAATCCCCACATGTTGCAGGAAGGACCCAGTGGGAGGTAATTGAATCATGGGGGTGAGTTTTCCTATATTGTTCTTGTGATAGTAAATAAGTCAGGTGAGATCTGATGTTTTCATAAAGGACAGCTCCACTGCACATGCTCTCCAGCTTGCCGCTAGGTTAAGATGTGACTTTGCTCCTCCTTTGCCTTCTGCTGTGATTGTGAGGCCTCCCCAGCCATCTGGAACTGTGAGTTCATTAAACCTCTTTTTCTTCATAAATTATCCAGTCTCAGGTATATCTTTATAAGCAGCATGAAAACAGACTAATCCAGGGCTTATCAGCTAAAAGCAAAGAAGTCATGACATTCCCAAATCTTCTCCTGTGCTCTAGTTAAAAGCTCTACAACTTAAACATAGCAAAACCAATAGAATAATCTATATTAATTAGGGAAATGGAATATGGGAGTTGAAACAGAATAAAGAAAATTGCAAGAGGCCAAATAGCAAAAGCATTCATAAGTAAGATAAAAACAAGAAAAAAAATGTGCAAAACAACCTTTTTCCATCTTTCTTTTTTCCCAATTGATTTCCCTTTTCCTTTTATTTCTCTTATCTAACTTATAGATTCAACTTTTTAAAAAAGCATTTTACAAAAAGAATAAAATATTTAGGAATACAGCTAAATAGGGAGATAAAAGATCTCTACAAGAACTACAAACCACTGCTCAAAGAAATCAGAGATGGCACAAATGGAAAAACATTCCATCCAATGGATAGTAAGAATCAATATCATTAAAACAGTCATACTGCTCAAAGAAATTTATAGATTCACTGTTATTCCTATTAAAGTACCATTGAGATTCTTCACAGAACAAGAAAAACTATTTTAAAATTCATATAGAACCAAAAAAGAGCCTGAATAGCCAAGGCAATCCTAAGCAATAAGAACAAAGCTGGAGACATCACACTACCTGACTTCAAACTAAACTACAGGGCTACAGTAATCAAAACAGCATGGTGCTGATATGAAAGAGACACATTGACCAGTAGAACAGAATAAAGAGCTGAGAAATAAGACCACACATCTACACTACCTAATCTTCAACAAACCTGACAAAACAAGCAATAGGAAAAAAATTCCCTATTAAATAAATGGTTTTGGTTTAACTGGGTAGCCACATACAGAAGATTGAAACTAAACCCATTCCTTATACCATCTACATAAATTAACTTAAGATGCATTAAAGACTTAATTTCAAAACCCAAAACTATAGAAACCCTGGAAGACAACCTAGGCAATATCAGGTCATAGGCACACGCAAAGATTTCAGAACGAAGATGTCAAAAGCAATTGCAACAAAAGCAAACATTGACGAATGGGGTCTAATTAAACTAAATAGCTTCTGCACAGTGAAAGAAACTATTAACAGAGTAAACAGATATACAGATGGGAGACAATGTTTTCAAACTATGCATCCAACAAAGGTCTAATATCCAGCATCTATAAGGAACTTAAACAAATTTACGAGAAAAAAAACAACCCCATTAAAAAGTGGGCAAAAGACAAAAGCAGATACTTCTCAAAAAAGAACATACATGTGGCCAACAATCATATGAAAAAAGCTCCATATCACTGATCACTGGAGAAATGCAAATCAAACAACAATAAGATACCATCTCACACCAATCAGACTGGCTGTTAGTAAAAAATCAAAAAATAACAGATGCTGGCAAGGTTATGGAGAAAAAGGAACGCTTATACACTGTTAGTGGGAGTGTAAACTAGTTCAACCATTGTGGAAAACAGTGATGCAATTCTGCAAAGACCTAAAGACAGAAATACCATTTCACCTAGCAATCCCATTACTGGGTGGGTGGGTGGGTGGATGTGTGTGTGTCTGTGTGTGTATCTCCAAAATAATATAAATTGTTCTATTATAAAGACACATGCACACTTTTATAGAGCACATCTGGAAGAGCATTAGACAAACTGTAGAGCAATTAGCAAAGATGTGGAATGAATCTTAATGCCCATCAATAATAGACTGGATAAAAAAAATGTGAGACATAAACACCATGGAATACTATGCAGCCATAAAAAAGAATGAGATCATGTCCTTTACAGGAACATGGATGGAGCTGGAGGAAACAAATGCAGGAACAGAAAACAAAATACCACATGTCCTCATTTATAAGTAGGAGCTAAATAATAAGAAAACATGGACACACAGAGGGGAACAACACACAATAGGGCCTATTAGAGGGTAAAGGGAATAGAGAGGATCAGGAAAAATAACTAAAGCGTACTAGGCTTAATAGCTCGGCGATGAAATCATCTGTACAATGAGCCCCCATGACACAAGTTTACCTCTGTAACAAACCTGCACATGGACACCTGAACTTAAATGTTTAAAATAAAAATAAATGTGTTTTAATTCCCCTTAGGTAACATTTACAGCAACATAAGATGGCAAAAATCACATGCATTATTTTCAGTCAACTAAACCTGCAAAAGAAATTTTTACAAACATCCTAATTATGGAAGGTTTGACTTGCAGAACACAATGGCAAACCTTGATTTAGAGAAAATAAACCTTCAAGGTAAGATTGGTCTGACCTGAATAGATAAGCATTTTTAAGTCTGCACAGTTGCTTGTTTCTTCAATGGTTGAAGAATTAATCTTAAGTTGCTTCCCAACAAAATTTCGGCAGGTTATCTTTAAAAAGAAAGATGAAAACAAATATTAGTCAGGTATTTATAGTTAAAAATTTGGCTTACTTGTAATGTTTCTCTCATTTTTCATTTATCAAAATAAAGAGATCTCTAACAATGCTACAAAGAAAAGCTGGCAGAATAGTGTCTAATCATGAGAACTTTCATGAAAAAAAGCAGCTCCATAATTTTTCATATTTCTTTTGCAGAGCACAGCTGGAAGAACGTTAGGCAAATTATGTAGAGCAATTAGAATATGATTTGCTAATATTCTACAAATTCTCTGGTCTAACTATATCTTCCATTATATAAGTTAAAATATAATCTGCTTTCCCAATGGCAGGTTTTTCTACCCTACTTATAATTAACGCCATTTTAATTTCCCTGGTGAAGTTTTTCAGAACTAACTTCCTCTATAGTATTTTGATAATTTATTTCTAACAGATACATGAGTCCTAAGATAATAAAATATCTGAAAATATAAAAGCTTTTAAAAGAAAACATTTATTTTAAAGGGCTCAAGACCCTCTTCTCTCCATTTCTTCACCTGTATCCCTTGAACTAACCTACCACTCAAATACAGCCCTCCTGGAACCCCAGTCTGATGTAGATGCTTCTTCTTTATTGTCCCTTTTGGGTACTTTTATAATGAAATATAAATGCAGCCTAATAAAATACAAACTCCTTCCCACAACCTCATAAGGTCCCACTTGATCTAGTCTTTCCTATTTCGCCGGCTTCATTAAACGGATCTTTACTGAACACCTATTTTGTGCCAAACACTGTTATAAGAAGAAGGGATGATGAAGCAGAGAACACAATAAACAAAAACTCCTATTCTTGTGAAACATCTTAGTGGGAGAAGAGAGATAATGAACAAATAGTGAGGCACATTACACAGTATATTAAAGAATTGCAAATACTCTAGAGAGACATAGAGCAAAAGGCACAGAGCTGTAAAAAGGTAGAGAGGAAAGGCCTAACAGAGAATGTAATATTTAGCAAAGATTGGGAAAGGTGAGGGATTCAATATGGATGTTTGGGGAGGAGCACTCCCAGCAGGAGCAACGGCAAATACAAAGACCCTAAGGCAGAAACACCTTACAGAACAGTGCAGTTAAAACCCGCAGGGGAGTCATAGGATAGGGGTTACTAGAGAGATTGGGGGATACGTTACGTAGTATAAGTTATATTAAGGCCATGATAAAGATGTTCCCTTTACTCCTAATATGGTGGGAAGCCACCATAGGGTTTTAAATAGAGGTATGACAGAACCTGATTTAGGTTTTAAGGGTCACTGTATCTGCTGCATTGAGAATAGATTATAGCCTGTGTGTGGTGGCTCACACCTGTAATCCCAGCACTTTGGGAAGCCAAGGCAGGAGGATCATCTGAGGTCAGGAGTTCAAGACCAACCTGGCCAACACTGTGAAATCCCATCTCTACTAAAAATACAAAAATCAGCCAGTTGTGGTGGCTCGCACCTATACTGTAACCTCAAGTACTCACAAGGCAGAGGCATGACAATCGCTTCAACCTGGGAGGCAGAGGTTGCAGCGAGGTGAGGTCACTCCACTGTACTCCAGCCTGGGTGACAGAGCGAGACTCCATCTCAAAACAACGACAAAAAGAATATAGGCTGAAAGTGGGGTGCAGGATGATTAAGAGGTCACTGCATTAGCCCAAGCAACTACAACAAGGGCTTGGATAATAAACAAATAGTGAGGTATATTATATAGCATATTAAAGAGCGAATGTTGGAGCTGGTGAGCAGTCTTCCAATTTGGATTGCATGTTGAGCACTTGGTAGCCAGTTGGAAGCGGGGTGTGAGAGCAAGAGAGCAGGCAGGGATGTCTCCAAGGTGTCCGGTAGCCAGGAAAGGCTTGTCACTGACTGAAGACTTAGCAGAACAGGTTTGTTTGAGTTGTGTTAAATTTAAGAAGTGTATTCCTCAACTAAGAAATGATGTTCATTGGGCAGTGTGGTGGTTTCTTAATGGATCAGCTTGGTTAGGGCTAAACTATGAGGAGGAAAGAGAGGGAAGCATCCATTTTCTAGCACACTTCATCCCAGTTATTCAATCAAACTAGGTGCTACTGTGAAGGGATTTTGCAGATACTAATAAAACTGACTTTAAACAAGGGAGATTACCCTTAGGGGACCTGACCTAAGCAGATGATTCTGACCTGCCTGCAGCATCCAGGACTTCAAACACCAGCAGCAGCTGTTTCTACAGCTATCCTCTACCTGGCTGGATCTTCCTTCACTGACTGCCTATGAGTAATAGCCTCTGTCCACATGAGGTTCCTTCCTGTTCATGACCTTGACTGTCTGCCCTATGGATCTGAAGCTTGCTTAGCTGGCCCCCACAATCATATAAGCCAAATTCTTGTAGTAAATCTGTTGATGGATAGCCAGCTAGGTAGCTGGCTAGACAGATGTGATATTGTAAAATATACATTTGGTCTTGTCTTTGTTTCTTGACATACAACTCCTAAAATCCTTGGAATCTCCAAAGTGGTGTCTTTTTGTATGTGAATAATTTGAATGACAGCCCCTAGGTAGCTTCAGGATGGGGGCTGCTCACCAGAAAGACCATGGCAGGATAAGAACTTTCGGCCCTACTCCCCAACCTCTGCAAAGGAGAGAGGGGCAGAAGGTTAAGTTGATCACCAATGGCCAATGATTTAATCAATTATGCTTCCATAATGAAACCACCACAAAAAAAAACCCAGATCTGATGCTATCTCCAGATTGACTGTGTAGAAACTGAATTAAAAGACACCCAGGAACCCAGGAGGCGGAGGTTGCAATGAGCTGAGTCCGTGCCATTGCACTCCAGCCTGGACAACAAGAGAGAAACTCCATCTCAAAAACAGAAAGACACCCAGCTGGCATCCACTACAGAACTGATTTCTTGCTTAGGGGTGAGGTGAAATCCCCAGACATCTGATATCAGAATCATGTTGTAAGGGAATAGTGAAAGACACTGTGTTTATTTTTTCCCCTCCATAGAAAAAATAGACCTGTCTTACTAGTTTTGCTCCTCTGGTTGAACCCTGGCTGATACAGGCAGTTAGATATACCAACACAAAATTTAGAAAAAAGATCTAGAGTGGAGATGTAATTTCAAAAGCCATCATCGCAGAGATGTACTTAGAGCCACAGACTGAATCAACGCACTAAGGAAGAGGTAGAGGTTGCAGTGAGCCGAGATTATGCCACTGCACTCCAGCCTGGGTAACACGGCGAGACTCAGTCTACAAAAAAAAAAAAATCATGGGCTCTAGACACCATCCCCATTGTGCTTCATGGCTAAGTTCGCTTTGACCTGATATGAGCTTCTTGAGGACAAGGACTTAGTTCCTGTTTGCCTTGATCGCAGGCTCTCAATAATGTTTGTTGATTTGAATGATAAATGCCAGTAAGTAGAGATACTAATACTGAAGCAGAAATAGTAATACTTATCTCATTTCTAAATCTTTGTATTTTATATGTGGACTAATTAGAAATCACAGCATCATGAATAACAGAACTTAAACTTACCTTCTCTCCATATTCAGCCTCATACCTTGCACAAGGTTGTTGGGTAATATCTGGGCCCTTGAACTTGTGTATTCTCAGCAGAAGCTGGCGCTGTGCATACACCAGGAGTGGTGTCACTTGTTCTGTATACCGCTCACTAGACAGGGGTAAAGAACACATTAAAAAGAAAACATCAGTTAAAAGACTTTTTTTTTCAATGAAGTCTGTTACTTTTAATTGTCCTTACAGCACTACTTACTGTGAAACTGTATTGAACTGAATGGCAAGTGATACTAGTGTTTCCCATTTTTCCACTTGATATAAAACTTCCAGGGATTTTAACACAAAGTCGTGGATCCATTTCAAATCAACCACATTTACATCATCTAAAGGATGCTCAAATGTAAGACTAGAACCACCGTTATCATTTTTAATATTCCCATAACAACTTGGAACACTGAATTCTCCTTTGTCTTCAATAGGCTGCAAGTAGCACAGTGAAAAAAAATGTGTCATTTCAGAGTTTACTCCATATTTTGTCTGAAAACTGAATGTGATAAAAATGTAACATGGAAAAGAACTGAACTGAAAAGAAAAATATATTTTCCTTATGCAAGTCAATTATGATAATTTGATGCAGTATTATTCAATAAAACTTGCTGTGGTGATAGAAATATGCTATATATTTGTGCTGTTCATTATCATTCCCTATAGCCACTGGACACCTGCAGCTACCAAGCTTTTGAAATGTGATTAGTACAACTGAATTACTTTCATTTCATTTTAATTAATTCAAGTTTAAATTTAAATAGCCACATATGGCTAATACTTACCATGTTGGACGCACAGACTATGTTCTACAGTTCTTGATACACAGTCACTATCCATTTAAGTAAGGATATGAAATCAATAAGGTATGATTTTTAGAAAAAACAGACTTTACTATAAACAAACACATAATGAAGTTCCCTAATACATTAATTTATATTCGTTATATTCGTTAATTTATACAATAATATGTCCATTCCTAGATGCAAATGTCATACCTATGGAGGAGGAAAGCAAAGAGGAGGCACTAAAGAGTTACTATGTAACAGGCCGGGCACAGTGGCTCATGCCTGTAATCCCAGTACTTTGGGAGGCCAAGGTGGGGAGATCACAAGGTCAGGGTATCAAAACCACCCTGGCTAACATGATGAAATCTCGTCTCTACTAAAAATATAAAAAATTAGCTGGCCGTGGTGGCACATGCCTGTAGTCCCAGCTACTCGGGAGGCTGAGGCACGAGAATCACTTGAACACAGGAGGCAGAGGTTGCAGTGATCCAAAATCATGCCACTACACTACGGCCTGGGCAGCAGAGAGAGACTCCGTCTCAACTAAAA